GCCTATCACGCTAAAGAGAATAGAGAACTCAGTGTGCAACAGAGGGGTATGTGCGTGACCAAATAAATAAAAGAGATGGCTAAGAAGACACAGCTGTTGTATGGGGTTTAGATGAATGTTCCCCAAGGGTCCATTTCCAGTTAAGCCTGTCCTAGAGTAAACAGTAATTGCAGAGGAATGGCCTTTTAGACTTGGCGATTTCTGGACAGTATCAACGGGCTAGTGTGGATGGTTAATACTGTGTTCTATTTTTAGGCCTTTGGAGTGAAAGCAGGAGCTCATGTGCTTGGCACCAGTAAGGAATTTTCCACTCATTCCCCATGTAGGGAAGCACTGATCTCACCCTGGGCCCTCGGAGGAGGCCTTGCTCAAATTTCATCCTACCATGTCATCACGCTGGGCTGGCTTAGGTTGGGGAGCGAAGGGGAGCAGTGGCATGACATCCTTTTGAAGGGAGCCTTTGGGGCGGCCTTCCTCCTGGGTACTCAACAGAACCTAGGGGTCTTGCAAGATCACTGCTGGAATCTGTTGAGCCATGATGGGTGGAAGGGTAACTTAGAGGCAGGGAGAGAATGGAAGGTTTCTTGAGGTTCCCTTCTTGCCTTAAGGAAGGGAGTTCCTACAGTCCTCATTGTTGACTCACTCCATCGCAGGGCAGCCTTACGTCATTCTGCAGGAAACAAAAAGTGACTTCACTGATGCAGAAAATTCATAAATTAGAAGAGTTGGTATCATTTCAAAAACAAGCACTTAAGAAGGAAGGACTGTCGCCAATCTGCATAGGCTGGCCTGAGCAAGCGGCGCTAGGCTGAGCCAGCATCTTCAGGAGGAATGAATTAGCGGGCCCCCAGAAGGGGTTAGGGACAGCTGATGGGGAAAACAGAATAGCTACCCTAGCAGGTCTTACAGCCCTGGTACGCTCTACCAGACAAGTACTGGCATGTGACCCATAAATCAATACCATGGAGACGGGATGGTAGTTCTAGTGCTAGGATGGGTGTGAATCCAACCAAGGATTTTTTTTTTTTTTTTTTAAGTAGTCAGGAGCTCACACTGACTCACTCAGAGTTAGGTATGAAACTCCGTGCTCAGATCCCATCTGAGGATCCATGTGATTTGGATCTTGATGCTGTGTCTGTATAAGCATGGGGGGCGGGGGAGGCCCTCCCAGTGTGTTAGTGTTCAGCAAAGAGTATGCACTCTGGCTTCACCGTTTCCTAACCAGGCATGCAGGGGCTGGTTGCTTAGCCATGGAGCCCCAGTTCTATTCTCTCCACAGGGAAATAGAACCCAGGGCTCACCTGACAGCATTTGGAGGACTAAGCGAGGTCAAGGGCTTACCCAGCTCTGTGCCTGGCATAGTGAAGTGTTTGGAAAGGTTCACACTAATGTAAGTGTAGTAACTAGGCAGACCTTACGAGAGTTTAGTTGTTCTCCTTGACGTTGACATCTTCAGGTTGGTTGCTAATCTTTGGCAACTGATCAGTCCTTCCTTAGTACGCCACTTGAGGACTCTAGTTTGAAACTGGTTGGTATTACAGGCTTATAGGCTATGCTTGCAAAAGTTTGGCGATGCGGGTGGGGTCGGGTTATCTTCCTTCAGTCTTCCCCCTCGCTGCCTCCCAAAATGGAGAGGGTGCTGGATCTGTAGTCTCCCCTGGCCCCTGCCTATATCCCCTTCCATCTCTCTTCTCTTCCCATCTGCTCCCTTTCATTTTTTGCTTCTTATATTCTCTCGGCGTGTTTTTCCTAAAGCAAAGATGGGAGGGGTAGGCCTGGTGGGAAGTATAGGCATCAGCTTTTCATCAAAGTGGTTCAAGTCTGAAGGTCACCCGCAACCTCTACCATCATCAGCACTGTCTCCCGCTGAGGCCTGTCCTCCTTACTGGACCTGTAAGCCACTCCTTCCTCCAATGTCTTATTTTCCCATGGCTGGAAAGTATAGAGGGTTCTATTGTCATTTGGGAGATGGCTGGGCAGGACACTGTTAACATCCACTCAGGGCTTCTTTCCCTGGGGCCAGATTGGGGGACAGTGCTGCTGTTCGGAGCTGAGGCAAGTGTTGGCTTGCATGAGAGCATTAGAAATTAGAGTTGGTTTGTTGTGTTTTAAGTTCTGGTTGTTCACTGCCTAAGCTCATCTAAGTCTGTATCTTTCGGCAGTCTCACTGTGAATACTTTAATAATGCTATTTTGGGACTGATAAGTATAGTGCAGTTAACCCTTGAAGAACACGGGGATTAGGGTCCCTGACCCCCTGCACAGCCAAAAATCTGTATATAACTTTTGACTCCCCAAAAACTTAATGAGTAATAACCCACTGTCGACCAGAAGCCTTACTGATAATGGTTGATTAACACATATTTTGCATGCTATATGTATTAGATAATGGTATTCTTACAATAAATTGGGGGAAAGAAAATATTTTAAAAATCACGAGGAAGTTCAAACTTGTGTTGTTCAATGTTCAGCTTTATTTCTGTTCTCTGGCTGTGCTTAGGAACTGAGGATCAAAAATTATTCTTTTTTTTTTTTAAGATTTTATTTTTAAGTAATTCTTCACCCAACATGGGGCTCGAACTCACAACCCCAAGATCAAGAGTGGCATGCTATACTGATTGAGCCATCTAGGCATCCCAAAAAATTATTCTTGATAGTAGAAACAAGTTAATTTTTTCACTTGTTTAAGATTATTTCGGGTACAGAGAAGATTAACATGGCCCCTAAGCAAGGATGACATGCAAATCCAAGAGGCATTCCATATTTGGAAAAAAAAAAAAAAAGATTATCTCAGGGTAGATACTAAAATTTACCCTCTCTGGAATACCAGATTTTCTTAATTTGTAGTAACTAGTTGAATGTCAGTTGACCACATTATGCTGTGTTAGAACAAGCATAGAAAATCCCTGTGATCTGCCTGATTGAACTCTTTCACTCTTTCCCTGTTAACCAGACTTCAAACTTAGAATAGAATCAGGTCAGAGCCGAGAAGCCTTTTTTTTTTTTTTTTTTTTTAAGACAGAGAGCATGAGTTGGAGGAGTAGCAAAAGGGAGAGGGACAAGCAGACTCTGTGCTGAGTGTAGAGCCCCACACTTGATCCCAGGACCCTGAGGTCATGACCTAAGCCGAAATCAAGAGTTGGATGTTAACCAACTGAGCCACCAAGGCACCCCAAGAAGGTATTTGAGAGAGAGAGCAAGCACGAGAGGGGGAAGGTCAGAGGGAGAAGCAGACTCCACCGCTGCGCAGGGAGCCGGATGTGGGACTCGATCCCAGGACTCCAGGATCATGACCTGAGCTGAAGGCAGTTGCTCAACCAATTGAGCCACCCAGGCGCCCCCAAAAAGGTATTTTAAAAAGCAAAACAAAACAAAAAACAGAACATAAGAATATGCCCATTCTAAACACATTTAGATCCTTAATATGGAGAAGCCGCTAGTATCTGTAGGATATTATCCAGTTGCAAATGAAATGAAAGGAAAACAACAGAGTTAGAATAACAACTCACATTTATATAGAGCTTGCTAAGTGTCAGGCAACCTTCTAACTACTTTGCACATATTAATTTCTTCAACCCTCATAACGACCCTGTGCGGCGGGCATGACATAGAGGCAGCATTGCTTAGTGATTAGGAAAACATCTACTCTCAGGTGTGTTTGCTAGCCTTCAAATTCAGGAAAGGCAAAGATACTGTGGGCTGAGATGGAAGGAATGAGGCTTCATGAATAAAATGGAACTCCTCGTCCTTCAGAGGATTTATTTTTGCTACATTATTCTTTAAAAAAGAAAACATAAGCTAAGAATCGTTGATGGCGGCGACTATAATAGTTCTCAGTTTATTATGCAAATAGAGTTTTACTTAGGTATTGTGATGTTATGACATTGCATAGCAAACACCCTTTGGATAACGTGGGACCGTCCATCCCATTGACCCAGCGTAGCACATGTGTTACCTGGATGTAGACACCACAGCCACAGACATAAGATGGTGCGCGCTGCTGATTTCCATTGGATACCGGTTCTTTGGAGGGGCTGTGGTCGGAGTCAAAGGAGGTTAAGAAAAAAAACACCCTGATAATATTCATGCTAGATATATGGTACACATTTTAGCTTCACTTCCCTTTTGGGAAATGTTTGCTCTGGGAGCACACTCTACAGAAGGAAGAGACTTTCTGTGAAGGCCTACATTTTTGGTATCTCTAACGTGAAGAGGATTTATATAGCTCACCTTGCCTCGTTATTATTAGTAACCATGAAAGTATAACACATGTCACTATTTCTGGTGGCTCCGTAACCCAGATTACAAATTCAGCATTTCTTCAGGGACTCCTGTTTTATGTCAGGGAAGACATATGATCTGAAAACAACTTTAATTACACATGGCGCCCTTTGCACTAAAGAGCATTTCAAGTGGGACTTTTCCTCTTGTTCCTTCTAGTGCTGCAGAAAAATGCAACAAAAAACTTGGAAACCTTGAATGTTGGTGTTGGGCTCCTTACAAAGAAAACTGTTTCATGTTAAGTTTTCTGTTCATTATTAGGTAGCCGACCATGTATGTATGGACAAAAGGGTAAGTGTAAGGGGACAGATGGTAAAATAAGCATTCTCCCTTCGGAGAAGTACAGCATGGATGTCTTCATGGTCAAAAATCTCCTACTAGTGATAACAATTAACAGGGTATCGTAACACCTACCAGGTGATTACTGTGCGGGGCGTAGGCTCGCAAAGTATTGTAGGACGATGTAGACAAGAGAACAATACAGAGAAAAGCACACCAGGGGTATTATTATTACATTGCAAGCTTTGCGATTTGAATGTGATACAAATGAACGAGTCAGACTGCTTTGTGATTTTTTTCTATGCTCATATAATGAGAAAATTGCCTCCTTATGGGCTACACCTAGAAATATTTGCTTAATATGATGCATTAATGAAACATGTGAAAGTGCTTATCTAGCATAAAACTAGGGGACTCTCGGTGTCCGTTTTGTCTTCGCAGAATGAAAGTGCCCTTGTGAAAGAAAAAGAGCTGTCAATCGAGCTTGCAAACATCAGGGATGAAGTTGGTAAGTAGGGCATTGACAATGAGGAGCCTAAAGACTGTCTTTTCCTGATACCTGTGAATGTGTGTTAACAAAAGCAATTATGTCTCCTGTGATCAGCCAGGGCAGGGCTGCCTGGAAAAATGAAGCATCTTCCCCAGCACAGCGGTGGGTTAGGGAAGCCTTGTAGGGAGCCGTAATTTGTTTGTCTCTGTTGTTACAAGGACAGCTTCATAAACAGTTCACGGTGGAACTAATCTGGCCTCGACTGCACTCTTTGCAGATGGCAGCACGCACATCCGTCTGTGTGGTGTGCTGGGAGGAGTACCCCTGCGTCTTGGTACCCCCGGCGCAGGCAGAGCTCCAAAGGAAGCAGCAGAGCTTTGCTGGGTAACATGAGGTGCTCTCTGCAGTCTATCTCTGCGGATATCCCAAGGCTTCCTGCTACCGTAGCCATGAGACACGCTATGATATAAAACGAGATTGGAAACATGAGCCTGGACGGATTAAACATGCTAGGGTTCATGTCGAAACTCCTAGTCTTTGGCTAGCTTATGGTATAGTTCACTCTCAACCAGAAGAGACCTTGCAGATGACAGGATGATCCCCAGACTGGGGGTGTCCGAGACATGGATGGGCTCTCACCTCTAACCCAAAGAGCAGACCAAGTATTTTCCATGTTCCAATTTCTTTTTTTTTTCCCTCAAGATTCTATTTATTTATTTGACAGAGAGAGAAAGCACAAGTAGGCAAAGCAGCATGCAGAGGGAGAAGCAGACTCCCTGCTGAGCAGGTGGGGTGGGCCCAGATGCGGGACTCAATCCCAGGACTCTGGGATCATGACCTGAGCCAAAGGCAGCTGCTTAACTGATTGAGCCACCCAGGCAGCCCTCTGTGTTCCAGTTTCTTGATCCCATTTGTCTCTTGGGGATGTGTTCGTCTGTCTCCCCAGGAATCAGTCAGCAAAGGTGAAATTAGGGTGGCCTTTCCCCCTTGGCCTGCTCTCTTCTCTTTACAGAGAACACTTCACCTGCAACCCATGTGGTCGTGCGGGCAGCCCGCCAAGCACAGGTGTGGCTCCCTTCACAAGTGAAGGGACCTAAACGGTCCCAGCCATCCTTGGCAGGTGGCACCGCACCTTTTTCTTCAGGCCAGTCATGCAAACAGGCCTTGAATCTGAAGCCCAGACTTCCCTGGGGAACGTGGGCCTGAGACGTGCAGTAGACCCCACAGTGATTTCCAAACACAGTTTTCCCTTCTCCCCTCCCCTTTATTTTTTCCCTTTTTTTAAAAAATTTGAGGATTTCTACTTCACTGTGAGTTTCCTGCTTCTTTCGTCATTGAGATAGGTCAACGATGGGCTTTTCTCCCTTCTGGGGAGAGCAGGCCCCTGTGGGAAAGCCATAAAGAACCATTCCTCCTTCCTAGCCTTGCCTGTGCATGATCCCTACCCAGCTGCAGGGGACCCCGCCCCTGGCCATCCCCTGCAGTGTCTGAGCCCCTATACAGTAGGTTTCCCAAAGAAGGCTTGAGGAGCAGAGTGGAGTTTGTGAGAGGGGCTCCCGGGAAGCCGAGGGCCACGAGTGAGTGTGTTTCTCGAATGAGTTTTTAGATTGTCTGCGACTCAGTGGTTCTGAGCATGGGCTTTGCAGGCCAATGACCCAAGTTCAGGTCGAGCAAGTTGGCTAACCTCTCTGTCCCTCAGGTTCCCCTTCCTAAAAAGGAAAGTCGATTAAAGAGGGTAATGCTGATGAAGCAGTCTGTAAAGGAGATTCCCTATTAGTTGTGTAGCACCTTGAATCTGAAAATAGAGGACAAAATCTTCCACTGTCACCTGAATTTCTGCCAAGAGCGATGCCGGCACCCCCACGGATAAGCTTTGGTTCTGGGATGTGCACCCTGATCTTACCAGATGGGATATGTCCAATCCAGTGCCGCTTCCCTCTGCCCTTTCCTGAAGCTTCTGAAGTCAGCAGGAACCACGCAAGGAGTACACTGAGTTTTTGTATTTCAGTCTTATTTGATGTCTGCCGTAGCGCTAAGAATAGAACCAGAAATCGTCTGCCAAATGAATCAACGGTGAGATGGGGGTGCAGAAGGCCTTGGCAACAGCAGGGCCTGGACCATTCTACCCCTCACTCAGCCCAGTGGATGCTTCGGCTGCAACTTCCTTAGCCAATGCAGAGCCTGCATTTGTGAGAGAAGACAGACAGTGCAATGTGGGGAGCTACTGTGAACTCTAAGGTCCGCGAGTTCTCAGATCTTGGCCAGCAGGGCATATCCCCGAAAGGAAAAAGGGAACTAAGCTTATAAAGTTGATTTTAGAATGGTCGTCTAGAGATTGCCCATCTAGAGGTGGACAATCCTGTCTCCTTACCAGCAGCCCTGTCAGCAGAATCAGATGGGGGCCACTGGAGTGGGGCATCATGTGGGGTCATGAAGGGCAGCAGGGGGGAGGCTGGGGGGAGCTGGAATTCCCATGTGTTGTGAAATCAGACATGGAAGAGGGAGAAGCAGCAACCAACCAGAATGGTTTAGAAGTCTTTACTGCAGATCTCAGAACAGGGCTGGCCTGTGCCCCAGATCTAAACATTCCACTCAAACCTGTTGTATTTGAACCCTGAATTCCAAAAGCCTGTCCTCATAAGTACACATCAGTTGTTTACATCCTTGGTGGGAATAAATGCAATCAAAGCGTTTTGGTATCTAGATAGAATCCCCTTAGCTGGTGGAGGGGTTGGTGGGGAGAGGTGGGTCTCAGCCCTGGGGCATATTAGAATCACCTGCAATGCTTTTTAAAATAACAGTTCCTAAAACCTCTAGAGCAATAGAATCAAAATATTTGAGAATGGGGCTTGGGTTTTTTTGTTTTGTTTTCCTTTAATTCCCAGCTGTTTATAAAGTACAGTGAAATTTGAGAACCAATGAACTCCATTGAAGGAATGGGGATTTCTGATCAGAGACGAGTGGGCTGTAGGGAATTTGGGGTAGTCCTGGGAGGGTGGGGTTGCCCCAGTGGAGAGCTTTGAGCAGCTAGAAAGCCTAGGGAAAGAAGCCCAGGTGGGAGGGGAAAGGGTACAGAAAGGAAAGATGCAGAGGACAAATTCTACCTGCTCTGAAATTATGCATAGAGTTGGCCTGAGTCCCAGAAAAAGGAAAAGAATATCCTCCCCCTTTCTTCACCTTGGCCTGTCAGGCTAGGGCTTTCCGTCTCTGAGTCCCCTCCCAGCTAGGTTAGATGGGCTTTCAGGAACCAACCACAGAAATTAATCCCCTGGTGTGTCTGCTGGCACACTTCATATTTACAATACATTCCCAATTGTGACATGTCTGGTGGAGCTACCACAGAATCTTCTAGAAGTTATATATTTTGACTAGTGCTTCAGTCAGAGGTTTTGATGTGTGTTATCCCACACTGATGGAGAATCCTGATTATAATAGTTTTTTTAAGTAGGCACTCAATTTACATAAACTTCAAGAACATCTCCTAACGCGTGATGTTTTCTGACATGAGGTGTGTGGGAGATTTTTCCATACTGACTAGGTGCCCAACAACTGAATCCAATTCTAACACTAACTGTCCAGGGTTAGGGCATCCCCACAGGCTAAGGACCACTCTCACAAGGCCCACCCCACTTTGGATGCTGGTCACACGCTCCAGGGGCCACCTGTGCTGCTAAACAACTGGCTTCAAATCCAGGGGTTTCCACCACCCCCTTCGCAGGTCCAGTAATTCACCAGAGTGACTTACAGAGCTCAGGAAAACACGTGACTTGTATGCATTAGAAAGGACACAACTCAGGAACAGCCAAACGTAAGACTTGCACAGTTGTGTGGGACGCGTATTTGGGGTCTGGGGCTAGGGGGTCCAGGAACTTCTGTGTCCTCTCCAGATGGCTTACTTTCTGCCAGTTCCCTGATGCGTTGGCCAGCCTGGAGGGGGGTTTATAACCCAGTCTCAAGCTTCCCTTCTCCCTGGTTGGGTTATTGAACACCTAGGGTAGATAAAGCACAGGCCAGGCAGGGTCACCGTGGATGGTGGGGTCGTTTGTACCCTGCAATGGGGCATCCCCCTCTTAGTAGAGAATGACATGCATCCACATTTCAGCCACTCACCAAGCCCTGTGCCCGGGCTTGGGGCCATTCCCACCAGAGGAAGGAGCATTTCTTTCGGTTTTGCACAAAGGTAACATGAGGGCTAGCTGTGACCTAGAGCTATATACTGGTCAGTGGTGACCAAGACTCACTCGTGTCCTCAGGTAGCTTACAATCGAAGCTCCATGGAGGAGGGCCTGTCTGAGATGGACTTTGCAGGATGACTAGGATCTGGATAGATGCCTATGGGAAAGGAAAGAGCACAATTCCTGAGCACCTACTACCCTGCTGCCCCAGTGAATGACCAGAGCACGGGCCTGGCCATTCTGCACACCTATGGAAAGAAAAAGTCTACTTGTTTCCTCTTTTCATGGAAAGAAAGAATGAAAGAAAGAAAGAAAGAGAAAGGGAGGAGAAAGACTTTCCATAGTTACCATTTAATAGTTATATGAAACATTTAATCATGCTGCCAAACTAGAAGTTACATCTCTCCTTGGAGCCCTTAGATTTTCCCCATTTTTTGCTATTATTTGCAGTGTTATGCAAATTACTGTTTTCCTTATGTCATTTTCTTGGGAATATAGTCTCAAAGTGTGGACGAATCATTTGGATAGATTTCACGTTTGTTCTAAACTTATCTGTATGTGACAGATCCTTGATATTTTTTCTATAAATCAAGATAAAAGATTATGGTGGATTTAGTCCCCGTGTAGCGAGGTTGCCTTATAAAGAGGAAATTCCATCAGTATTTCTCTCTGCCCTCTCCCTCCCTCCTTTCCTTCTCCTCTCTCACCCCCTGTCTCTTCTCTTCTCTTCTGTCTCTCTCTCTCTCTCTCTCTCTCACACACACACATACACACACACACACACACACACCTGAGAAGAAACCGGAATCCCCGATTATGTACCTGGGTGAAGTTTGGGGTGGC